AAGCCAGGCTGATTGAGCATAGGGGCTTGGAGCTGACCTTAGGCTGATTGAGCATAGGGGCTTGGAGCTGACCTTAGGCTGATTGAGCATAGGGGCTTGGAGCTGACCTTTCTGCTTCCCAGAAAGTACTTCAAGAGGCAGGCCTATGTGGGCCTCTTCCGGGAGCTAGAGCAGATGCTTTCGGATTTAGGTCTGACCACCTTTGGAGTAACTGACACCTCACTGGAGGTGGTGACACCAATGATGCTATGACCTTTGACTAGCATGGTGGTTTAAGACATGTTGTTTGTTGGTTCAATGCCCAAAAAAGCCTCCTCTGTGCCACCTAGGACAGTGAAATTAACCTGTAAAGCCTCCTTGGTACATATGATTAAAAAATATCATGTCTCTACCTTATTTCATCAGGTGTATGTATTCTAATGTGCAGTGAAGGTTACAAATAAATGATATATGCATATATAAAGCCTTACTCTTGTGTAGATTAAATTAGGAATATATTATTTATTGGCATTTTTTCTGTTTCGGTAATCTGAAAATGTCCCTTTCAGATATTTCTGAAAGTCACTGCTAATGGAGAAGCTGAAAGTGGTTCTGGTAATATATCTCATCCATTTGAGTTTCACCTAGTGAGCCTGTCACTTTACACTTTAAAACTGAAGAGGTACATGTGCTATGAACTGTGGTTGCACTCTCCTCATATTTTACAGCTTGTACTGTATTTGTCTTGCTTCCCCTTCCAAAAGTCAACAAACCCGAAGACTTGGGGCAGGGTCTGTTGGACAGTAGTGCTGGAAAAGGGTTAAGGAAGGTCAAAGGGCTGAACTTGGTCCTAAAGCAACTCTTTGCCTTGTTGGTCAAGGGATTCCATCGGGCCACACGGAACCAAAAGGACTTCCTTGCTCAGGTAGCGCAGGTTGATAAGCAATCAAACTAAATCCAATACCAAGGCAAAAGCTCTTGTCTGTGCGATAACACTTCTTGTCATTTTCAACATGAGTTTAGTTTAAAATAAAGTTGTCCTCCAAAGAGGGGTGGTGGTGGGCAGATAGAAAAAGAAAGGAAAAAAAGGTACATACCTTTGTATGAAAAACAATACCCAATACTTTGATCTGTCACATATGCATTTACAGTACAAGACTTGCATTCATGTGACCGCAAGTGAACGATTTGACAGCCATATTGGAAAAGCATATCTTCACACCGTGAAGCTTTTGGCTGCAGAAACAGGTGTAGATCCTGCTCCAGAGATATAACCTTCCAGCAGTTAGTGTGCTTACAACAAACAGCTGCACCTCCACCCACCTGTCTGTCAAGCTCCTGAAATTTGCAGATGACACCACCCTCATCGGACTCATCTCTGATGGGGACGAGTCTGCCTACAGACAGGAGATTGATCACCTGGTATCCTGGTGCAATGGGAATAACCTTGAGCTCAACGCCCTGAAGACAGTGGAGATGATTGTGGACTTCAGGAAAAGCTCTGCCCCACCTCTACCCGTCTTCCTGCTCGGCTCACCAGTCACCGCTGTGGAGTACTTCTACTTCCTGGGCACCACGATCAGCAAGGACCTTATGTGGGAGATGAACATCTGTTCTCTCACCAAAAAAGCTCAACAGAGAATGTTCTTCAAGAGAGACCACAAGGCAAATCGAGGCAATAAAAATGGAAACGAGGCTGATTTTACCTGCATTTATATTGTGTTTTAGTTTTTTTAGTTTTAATTATTTTTGTTTGTATTTCATTTCAGTTATCATAATTGTTTTTTCACTCCTGGTTTTGGTTAACTATAATAACCCTGGAGGGCACTTCAAGTTCCACGAACTGGTGTTTTTATTTTAATATCAATGAAGATGCATCAGTGCGTTGGCAACTGCCCAGGGTTGGTTCCCACCTGCACCCATTGTTCCTGGGATAAGCTGCAGGCGCCCTGCGACCTCAGTTAGGATTAAGCAGTTTCAGAAGATGGATGGAGAAATTTAATTGCATTTTGGCCACAGACTAAAACGAAAACAAAATTTCCACTGCTGTCTCAAGACAGACGGAAAATTACTAGCACTAGAAATACAACAAGCAGTGTAAACCACACCACCAGGACACAAGAGGGCCCTTCTGAAGCCTCAGTTATATTTGGCTGGAAGTTCTGTACTAGTAGGTGTCTAATCTTGTCCTAATTGAAGGAAACAGCTCTAGCATGGCAGTTAAACTGTCTTCACCTAAATTAAGACATACCAGCTGCAGTGATTCTTGGACATTTTGTTAACTTTTTATTTGATTTTATTAATTATTGTTATTTTTTTGTGATTTTGAAGATAATTCATTCACTCAGTTGCAGGAGCTGTAGGTATTCTAATTACATCATGCAGCCTCAAACCAAGCTATTTCATCATTTGCACATGTTGCATTTTTTATGTACGCCAGATGGCACCAGAAAGATTACCCATTTTCTAGATTGATGTGCATTAAAATGTAAGACTGAAAAATGACAAAAGAGACAGCATTATTCATTCAGTACAAGGTCAGATAATACTCACAAATGCTTAATTAGCTGCAGGGCGAAAAGCTGTTTCCTTCAATCAGGACCAGATTAGACGCCTGCTAGGAGAGAACTTCCAGCTTGATATAAATTAGATTTTGGGACAAAGACCAAACACAGCAACTTCTGTAACTAAAGCAAAACAATGGGACTGCATAGTCGATTTGTAGTAGTACTGCTTTTATTTGGTTGGGTTTGTAATGCTTGGTCTCCATTGAAAATGAGCCCAGAGGTTACTCCATATCCTGTGTCTGCAAAGTCAAATGTAGAAGCAAAGACTGCAATGGCTGCTGTCTCTAAGGCACAGACACAGTTGGGGCAATCTGTAGCAGCTGCCATCTCCCAGGTGCAGGCAGCGCTGGGGCAGGTGCGGCCAATGGCGGCTACGACCCCCCTGAGCAAGTTGTCTTTTGGGTTCGTACGCCCGGTAGCAGCTTCTGTCCCCCTGGGCCAAGCACAATTTGGGCAGATAAAACCAGCAGCAGCCACTGGCTCCCAGGGCCAGCTACAACTTGGCCAGGTGGGGCCAGCATTGGCCACAGTCCCCGCAGCACTGGCGACGTTGGGGCTGGTGGGGCCAGCGGTGGCCGCAGTGCCCGCACCACTGGCGACGTTGGGTCCAGCATTGGCCACAGTCCCCGCACCACTGGCGACGTTGGGGCTGGTGGGACCAGCGGTGGCCGCAGAGCCCGCACCACTGGCGACGGTGGGACCAGCGGTGGCCGCAGTGCCCGCACCACTGGCGACGGTGGGACCAGCGGTGGCCGCAGTGCCCGCACCACTGGCGACGGTGGGGCCAGCGGTGGCCGCAGTGCCCGCACCACTGGCGACGGTGGGGCCAGCGGTGGCCGCAGTGCCCGCACCACTGGCGACGGTGGGCCCAGCGGTGGCCGCAGTGCCCGCACCACTGGCGACGGTGGGCCCAGCGGTGGCCGCAGTCCCCGCACCACTGGCGACGGTGGGGCAGGTGGGGCCAGCGGTGGCCACAGTCCCCCCGGCGCAGATAAGTCCCAGTGCTATCAAGGTAACATGTAGTGAGAGCTCGGTTCTTGTGGAGATGCAGAGAGACCAGCTAGGCATTGGCCAGCTGATCCAGTCTGCTGATATAACGTTGGGAGGCTGTGCACCAGTGGTACAGGATGCTTCTGCTCAGGTTCTGAGGTTTGAGTCTGAGCTGCAGGATTGTGGGAGCAAACTGATGGTATGAAGCCTGTGCCCCTTCGGATGATAGACAGGCCACACATTGCTACTAATGATGCGTTTTCTTCCAGATGACTGACAACTCCCTCGTCTACACCTTTACCCTGATCTATATTCCTACTGGAATTGGTGGCACGCCTATTGTGCGCACTAATGGTGCTGTGCTCAGTATTGAGTGCCACTATTTGAGGTCAGGATGGGAAGCTTGTAGCTGTGGTGGTGACTAGTTACTTTGATTTATCTGGCATCTGATTCTGGTCCTGAATTTGTAGGAAGCAGAATGTGAGCAGTGACTCATTGGTGCCAACCTGGGTTCCCTTCTCTACTACCAAGGTTGCTGAAGACATCCTGGTCTTCTCACTTAAGCTCATGACTGGTGAGTCATTTTGCCTTGTGAGTATGGCTTGCTGTGTTCTGTACTTGATGCATGTCTGCTTCTGTAGACGACTGGCAGCTTGACAGAACCTCAAATGACTTCTCCCTGGGGGATCTCCTCAACATTGAAGCCTCTGTGACTGTGGCAAACCACCATCCCCTTCGTGTGTTTGTGGACAGCTGTGTGGCCACCTCAACCCCTGATGTGACTTCTGTCCCTAGATATGACTTGGTGGTAAATCATGGGTGAGTAGTAGGCTCCTGTAGTTCCATGTGAATGGCAGTCTTTAATGCTTCCTGAATGTGTCCTTCAGCTGCCTGAATGATAGCAAGCTGCCCGCCTCCAATTCCCGCTTCCTACCCCAAAAGCAGGATGACAAGCTGCAGATGCAGTTGGATGCCTTCAGGTTCTTGCAGGCCACTAGCAACTTGGTGAGTCATGGACGCAAGCCCACAAGTGCTGTATGAGATTACCTTAACTGCTTCATGCTGCTTCTTGTAGATCTACATTACCTGTCTTCTGAAAGCAACTGTAGCACCTGGGCCTACAGATGAGACGCACAAGGCTTGTTCATTCTCTGCTACCAGGTGTGTAAATGGTTTTGAGGCCTAGTGTCTGGCTCAGTGTGACTTGAGCTCTCATTCATTGCTAGGTGGACAGCTGCAGATGGTAATGACCAGGTGTGTGGCTGCTGTGACACAGACTGCATTCCCAGGATAGCAAGAGATCTGATGAGTATGGGGGTCCCCATGTGATACTCTTGACTGTTTATGATGGTGCTGTGACTGACTGTCCTGGCTTGCAGCTCTATGGTGGGAAAGTACAGCTATTGTGGGCCCACTTTCTGTGGCTGAGAAGCCTCTGCTGCATGGTGGTCATCACCCCCCAGGAGCTGAGGTGTCTAAGGCAGAGGACCGAACTGCTCACTCTGGTATGTAGCGACAGCTGTTTCTGGCCCTTTGGGAATGTAGTGATACTTCGGGTGAAGGTCCTTGGATATTTTGACACTGGCTTGCTGCTTTGCTCAGGTGTTTCCCTGGAGGTCATGGCTTTGGCTGGAGTGCTTGCTGCAGTTGCACTGGTGGTCATTGGTGTTCTGGGGATTGTGCTACGTTGGAAACGACTGTCCAACTGTTCTCAAGAATAAAGCTCACTAACTAATGGCTATTTTGTCCCCAATAATGACACTCTTTACACATGAATCCTTCAACTATGAGTAGGGTTAGTTAGTGGTATGTCAGAGTTGTGACTTCATGGCCCTGGACTGAAGATCCTAGTGAGCTACGTACTGGGTAAACTGTATGACCAGCTCCCTATGATACTGGATTCTGTGTCCAATGCTCAGGTAAACCTGAGATGCTTACGTAGTGGTCAGTTTCTTTGACCTGGTACCAAACTAACATGATCTTGAGTTGGTTACCCCATCACAGGGTGTCTTTGGCTCCTACTTTGCTAGACAGACCTAAGTCTGTTTCCAATAGACATGTTCTTCAGTGTAACCCTTCACTGACTGAACTGAAGGTGTCTGACAATTTCACTTAGGGGAAGGAAAAAGCAGTAAGGGTTGTATTGGGTTGACTAGGTATGGGACTCCTACTGCAGGAAATGCAAAAACATGCATTTTCATAAGTGGCAGAATCTGCAGCTTGTCCGCATCCTCCTGATCTATTTCCAGCGTAATGTAAATTAGTCCATATGCTGCCATAGTCTGGTTGCTTAAACCTGTAAACAACCAATGTTTTAATCTTTGTTTCATTATTCTGGACCATGCATCAGGAAATTCAGAGAAACAAAGCAAAACTCTTATGCCAGCAGGAAGCTGATTATTTTTACAATGGACCGATGACCTGTTCACCATTCTCATGTACAAGGTTAGGTATAGGCAAAGAAACAGGACTGGTTGTGTAATAAATTCAGAATGGTCAATGGATAATTGGCTCCAGTTCCACACAGTTGTTTAATCAGACAATCTCACTAAGCACTGCTTCACTTTTTCCCACAAATCGCAGGCTAAAGGTTTACTCCAGGGCTCTTTCAAACTGGATCTCAATTCTAAATCCATGCCTTGTTTTCAGTTCTCCCAGGTAGTTTAATAACTACTGGTTCTAATTGGCCACAGAGGCTTTGCACCTGGTTCATGGGAAAAGGAAGGCTGGAAAATCAGCAGGACTTGGACTTTAAAAAGCCTTGGCTTACCTGTTTACCGTTTAAGAAGTCTGAACCATTCAAATGTTTAGATTGTAGGATTGGCATGTGTTCCCTTGTATAATTAATGCTTCAAAATGCAGGTGGAACAGTGTGACAATCACCTGCAGCTCAGGACTTTAATGCCGGAATTCCAGTGAGTGGTTCTGAACCACGTTCTGGCTGGCTGATCGGCTCCACTCTAGTCACTGCTCATGATTCCACCCAAAGTGCTATGGCGTGGTTCAGAACTGTCCCAGAAGCAGCTCTCCATTCTACTTCACTTAACATACACGCTGAGTTTATTTTGCTGGATGCAGCTTCTGGAACGCTTCTGACAGCAGTTCGACCTGCCAATCCAATCAGGTATCATCTTCATGAATATTCATGAGTTTCCCCCAGCCCCCCTGTAGAGAACGGGGCAGAACCGTGTCGTGCCAGCACACGGTGCAACCATTCTTGGAATTCCGGCGTTACGACTAGTTTGCGCCTCATTCCTCACACGCCAGACGTCTGGACCTCAGTTCTTGATCCTGGCAGTGATACCTCTGTTAGCTAAACTGAAATAAAGTCCGTCATTCCATCGCAGTGTCAGGTGGCCGTGTGCCTCATCCCGCATGAGATTGGATTATTCTCTGTCAAACATGGCGATCGCTTCTGACAAGTGTATTTTAATAGCAGCACACATACATTTTCAATGTCCTTTAACGTTGTTTAATAATCACGTCACTAATAACAATTAATCACAAACACGTTGATCCAAAAAAGAAAAAAGAAAAACCACAAACAAGCCCTGCACACGCAAATGGCAAACGTTTATGTAGCTGAACCATCTTCAGCTTGCTTTTGCTATCGTTAAATATATCCACATTTGGCGTGGACTGTCAGCAGAGGCTGGGTCGGGGAGGTTTCTAACCACTAAGTCAGTACAAAGACCCTTAGTACGTGAAGAGCTTGTCAGTCATTCAGGGAGAGCTGCTGACTCTCTCTATGGCGCTCCTGAGCCATGCCTATATTGGGATCTAGCCCATGGAAAGAATATCAACCTGCCTATCAAAATACTTCCCATACATCATTCCTCTTATATCAGGTGACGTGCGTCTTATTGATGAATTGCATAAACTGCATTTCCTTTTTATTTTGGATCCAAAGGACATCGAAGAGGCCGCTGTTTCCTGCTGTGGCACCCAGAGAGGCCCTTCCTGTTGGGTGATGATGTTTCATGATGGGGTCTTGGGACAGGTGCGTGCAACATATTGAAGGAAACACTAAAAAAACAATGTATCTTTATAGTCAATTAATCACTAAATTCTTCTAAATTCTAATTCAAAATTCTAGTTTTGGCCTAACAGACTTGGATTCTCTGCTTCTTTCCTTATACAAACAAACACACACCATTACCTATCAACAGGTCCGCTGGATTACATGAGGACTGAGTTTTGGTTCCCGATATTGTAACATTTGATGACGAAGAATGACTTTAGGTCATTAGAGGTCTTATCTAAAAAACAACAAAAATATGGACTGAGTTTTGGAAATTTGCTTTTCAATTGGTGCTTTTTTTGCTTTTCAATTGGTGGTCTTTGGAAACAATCCCATTCCTTTCGTGGTAATTGTATTTTCTACAGGACGACTCAAAGTTGAAGATGTGTCGATGTGAATATGAATACACGTGTGGTGTCTGACATGATCATTTAAAATATTCTCATGTTTCAGCCGCCAAACAGAAGGCATTGAAAGTGGCACACTATCGAAATAGCCCAAACCTACTCAACCGTTCAGGTGTGCGATTTCTCCCATGGGCCAATAAGCCCAATGTAACAACAAATGACTATACTGTACATCTACGGTACAACCAGGACATTCTCAAAGGAGAGTGATGTGTAGGCTGGTAGTCTGCAGGGAGGATGCAACGTGATTGGCTGGAGAACATCGAGGATCGAGAGGAAAACCTCAGCGAAACTGCTCTTTTAAGAAGCTCCACAGTACACATTTCTCATACTGAAAAAAACATTTCTGATATTGAAAAAGCATAGCATTTTTCCCAACATACATTTGTTCTTCCAACTCAACATATTAGTTTCTCTCAAACCTTTAATTTTAAATATTTGTTTTTAATGCAACAAAGTATAACAATGTATACCCTCAAAGCAGGAACAGCCTGCCAGACTGAATGACCACATACTAATACTTAATATTACAGTGCTTGTACTACCACATGTACACACTTTTACTTTATTGCGATCAAATTTCCTTCATATTGTACATGCAGGTTTTTCTGTATTATACAGATTCTCCCTGCTGTAAAGCATTAAAACCTCGTTATGACACTATACTACCGATGATCACATGATATCCCGCCGTTTTTGTTCATTAGCTCAGTGCTGATTGTTCCTACCGTCGCATTTCACCACACCACCCTTCACTCACACTGAATGCAAAGAAAGCTGCGTGTTCTGACAGAGGGGCCATAATGTTTGTTATGTCTCGTTCAGCATCAGGTTTCTGGGGGGGGGACTGGGACAGGGGAGCAGGGGGACAAATGACGGATACATGCCAACACACAAGCAACCAGTCTTATGGCCAAACTCCCTCTCGCACAGACAGACAACCTCAAAAGAACATGGTATTAGAATTTTAAGTGTATCATTTAAGTGTATGTAATAAGGTGAATGGTATAAGGTATAAGGTTTTTAAGAAACAGGACTTACTAGTAGATCTTAGAGCACAGAGGTCCCAATGTCACTGCGTTAATACAGGACAAAGCAATCCTGATTAACACCAATTAATCAACTGACCTGGTCTACTGCCCACTGTCATAATTAGAGTTGTATCAGTTTCAGTCTGACTGCCCCCCCCTTGCTGCTATATAACTTCCGCTCTACCTGCCCCCCCGACCACCTCTCAAAGATGACATCACTGTGACTGTTACATATGATCTGACGCCCATCCGTTTCTCCTTCCCTGACCCATCTCCCACTGCCACGGACGCCTAGCTGATGGTATGACATCACCTAACGCCAGCGCACAACTGCACTCTTTGCTCCACCGCCTGTGTAACACTGGAGGCACCAGTTTTCATCGCCCGAGGCCAGTCGGCTAATCATTTGGACCCAGCGGCGCCAGGCAGCTCTCCGCTCGGCCGAGAGAAGCACTACAGTGTAACGGAAAACCCAAAGTAAGGGTTCCCATTAAGTCAGTGTACTGAAATGGATTCACTAAACAAAATGTGCAATACAGACGAGCACTCGTGATATAATCGCTAACCACTATGGCTACCAAAACCAGGCCTTCGCGGACATTCTCTTTAAAGAAAATGCGAACCACCGGGAACTTTAAAAAATAAATAAATAAATAGAAAGCCTTACAACAGCAATAATAATAATAATACGAGAAACAGACTGACGAGACGACTCGGTGTCACGGGGAATACTAAAACACGCGTTACGAAAACTGGACGAGTATAAAGGTACTAAGATTATGCTGAATGCTCAGTCTAGCTTGATGCACTGCACTGGTGCTAACAGTTCAGCAGTGGAGGCAGATGGGGGACTGGGGTGGTGCCCATCTGCAGGTGGGGCTGGGGGCTCAGGCTAACATGACAATGGCTGCTGGGACCACACAACTGTTGTGCATGCTCGCTAAAAGGGGTTACTGGAGTTACTTCTACCAGACTACTCTTTATGCTCTACACCAGTGGTTCTCGAATTATGGAGTGCCCTCTATAGGTATATGGAGGTATTTCCATGTATGATGTCGGTCATAATGATGGTATGAGGACAGCCTAGTGTTTTCTAAGGTGGTAAGCGGAGTAAAGAGTTTGAGAAGCATTGCTCTACACACTATAGTCATGGAAGGCTGGGATGGTCAATAACTGCATAAACAGGACACTGTTACCCAAGAGGTTACTCTGTCACTAAGACACAAAGCTAAAATGCTACAGGGGAAAGAACTGTGCTCTTCTCTAGGGGCGACACCGTGAGGGCGAGGGGTCTCGGGAAGTAGCGGGAAGTAGAAGGACCCCTTCGACAACCTTATTGACCTGACCCTACCTCCAGGGATTGGGGCAGGGTATGGGTCACCCAGCTGAAAGAGGAGGGGCATCTTAAATCCCATGTGACCCACCAGGAGAGACCCCTACCCCTGGCTACCTAGCTTAGCCAATGAGGGAATGCAGAAGGAGGGTGGGATTAAAATGGGGTGGGTGATGACCAAAAATGGCAGGAAGGTGATGGGATGATGTGTGAGTACAATGTTTTGCTGCCTGCCTGTCTGCCCTACTGGGCAGTGGGAGAGGGGCAGGTGACCCGAGGAAACCAGTGGGAGAGAGGAGGTTGTAGCGGCGCGTCGCGTTCTGAGCGCCAGGTCCAGTGAGGGAGGGCGGGGGAGGGAGATGCCGACGCCATGGTCCGAGCGAGCCGGGGCATCCCCAAGGGGGGGTCTGAGCCTGCAGGACTCAATCTGTAGCAGGAAGGTCGGGAAAACCAGAAGAGAGAAAGAGAGAAGGAGGAGATGAGAAATCAGAGGAGGAGGAAGCACTGGGGGGAGGGGGTGTAGATGAGGAGGTGATCCAGCAGCAACACAGGGGGGCTACACGCCTGAAAAAAAGAAAAGTCAGACACGAGGGTCACAGATCAGCGCATTCAGAGACAAGGCAAAAACCCTAAACAGCCACATAACAGGGTGTGAGTACTGGTGTAAAGTTTGCAGATAGGGGGCGCTGAAACTCAGGGGTCACAGAGGTCACTGAGCACGGGGGAGCATCCATGATGAAACCAGTGCTGGTGGAGCTCCAAATAGCTGGGGGGGCAGGGTAGCGGCATTGCACTCACTTGTCTCTGGGATGCGCGAGTCCAGTCCCAGTGGGCCCCGGAACCCCTCGCCCCCACTGGGCGTCTCCTTTCTCAGACCGCTCTCCTGAGCACTGTCCACCGCAGCCAGGGCACCACTAGAGGGAGCCACGTCCTGCTTGGCAGTTTCCGACACGCCCTCAGCCTAACACCACACGGCAGGGCGGGGACAGGGGTGGGACAAACACAGCACAGCACATCGGATAAAGCACAGCCCTGAGAAACGGATGCAGACTTTCACTGTCATGACAGAACCTGACGTATATAACCATTAACATAGACGGATCGTTTTTGCAGAAGAAATTATGCAATCTAAAACAGTTGAATGTGTACAAAATGACTGTGTACACATATATCTATGCATCTTCCATATCTGCTTATCCAGTTCGACGTCATGCTCTATACAAATATAGATAGGAAGCACAGACAGGGCCAAACCAACCCTTTTTGTCCTCCCTCTTCCCGTTCTGACTAGCTGATCAGATGGGGGTGTCCTAGTGGCCACTGAGCCATAACTGGCAGCTTACTTTGCTTATGCCTTGGGCCAGACCCAGGGGACAGATGCCAGTCCATCATGGCACAAATTACATTCACACATTACTACAGACAAACCAAACCCGCACTTCTTTACTGTTGGAAACTGGGGTTGGAATCGAACCCACAACCCTGAAGGTGTATTTGCTGAAAAATGGACCTTTGACCAATGACCTAACCATCATGTTCAATACACCTGTCCATGACTTACATTGTCTGTTGATCCCACTTTGGCCTGAGCCTTATCTTTGACTTTAAGGGACTCTAGCTTCACATCACCGCCCCCTAGAGGAAGAACAGAAGAAGTGCAGAAACGTGCTTCCGTGAATTCAGGTAATTGCCTGAAGACTGCTTGGAGAGGATTAGACTTGGCAGCTCATGGCACATACATGAAGGAAAGCAGTCAGTCTTACCTGGCTTGTGTTTAATATTGGTTTTGGAGCCACACTTTGATGTCACCTTACTTAGGTCAGGTTTCTTGTTGAGTATCATTACCTGTCATTCAGATACAAAACTGATTTAGCAGGAACAAGTCAATAAAACTAAAAGACTTAAAGAACTGCACTCAAAGGTCTAAAAGTAATCATGTGCAGAAACTATTAAACAAGTTATTCTTAGTTTTTCATCCATCCATTCATCCGACTATCTATCAATTGCTTATCCTGGACCAGGTCAGAGAGTTATTCTTAGTTTAAATTTTTAATGAATTTCACTAATCAAAAAATGTAATTAAAAGTATATCTAAATTAAGCTGCTATTTATTACACCTGAAGGCTTCACAGGTGAATGCTCATTTGTGCACCAAATAGTACAACTAAACCTTTGGGTTGCTGTCGTGATGTTCCATTTGCATCAAGCACCAAAACATGATAAGCCCCTGTACGGCCCAGTCTGAAATGACCACGCACCCTCAGTTACAGCTTAACGTCTGATCCTGTCAGGATGAACTACTCTCCTGTATTAGGAGAGATTGGGGCACTGTAGCCAGAACATGGGATCACAAACGTTTCATGACCCTTGAAGTAACTGTCATGTCCTACAGTTTACTGAATCGGGGGGGGGGGGGGTACTGGAAGGTAGAAAACTGATGCTCAAGTTGATACTTTTGTAGTACTTGAAAGTAGATCAGTACTGGAACTTGGACTCAGATTTTCAGGTATCTTTACTTCTATGGCTTCGTTCCTTTTCTGAAAACTACATAAACCAAATACACCGAACCACTAAAGTTTGACCTCTCCAGCTACAAGGGTCAGTGCTTGGGCGAAGTGTGGAGCTGCAGCTTCATACGTGCCAGTACCTTCATGCCCACTGACCTACTGTACACGTCTATTTTGCACAATAGGTTATGAGCTTCGACTGGGTGCTTAGCCTTAGAATAGCGCCATTGGGCTAGTGGTACCGTGGACAGGAGTGCCTAACAGGGGCTCACAATGCCGGAAATGGGGTTGGGGTTGTGTACTACTTGTGTGTTATCGCGCCGGCAGGGAAATAAGCCCTAGACTTTAGCAGCACTGCTACTCTGATGATACCAAGCAGCACCCAGGGCCTGCAGAACCAAAAGTGCGCAGAAGAGGGCAGTACATATTATTACATATTATTAAACAAAGATATTTTTTATCGTAATACCCTCCTCCCTTGTTGGCCCTTCATTGCTAATGCAAGTTTATATATTGGAAATGTATGTATGTTGATTCACAAATGAACAAAGTCATTAATAACACACACACACACACACACACACACAACTACAAGCATATTCAGGTAAGATGAAATCCACTGCAGACTCCCAGAAACATGCGGATGGGAACTGTGAATGACAGCATCCAGCGTAGGGAGAACGGGCAAATGTTGGGAAGAGGCGTGAGAGAGCTGGGACTGAGGCAGAGGTGTTAGAAAAAGCGGGGTAGACTCACAAAGAGGAAAGATCTCAGGCATTAAGGGGGAGCAACCAATCAGGTGACAGAAAATGGTCCCAGAACAACCAATCAAATACATTAAGACTTCATACCAGAACTCTTCTAAGAAACACAGTGTTTTTGCGCCACTGACAGATAGATGGTGCTGACACGATGCCAGAGAGCCACCAATGGGGAGTAAGAACATCAAAGGGCTGCTTAAGACGTCTAAGTATCTTTTACCACGGTTTCATTGAGAACTGGCTTGTTTTTCACTGGAGGTGTTCATTTGGAGGTATCCCCGGTTACAAATGAGGAAGGCCGTCCATGTTGGAGGGAGTCAGCGCCCCCACTTCTGGCACACCCCCGTACTTACGTTGCCTCCGCCGGGCACATGCTTGATATTGTCCTTGGAGCCGCAGCGCGACGTCACGTGGCTGAAGTCCAGCTTTTTGTTGACTATCTGAACCTACAACACAGCACAGCAGCAGAAAGGATAGAGGTCACCCCTGCGAGGGCAGCCGGTGGTCCCGGGGTAGAGGGGGGCGGGGTTGAAAACGAGGGGCAAAATGACCTGTACTCCATTCCTGCCACATTAAACTCACATTCCTCTAGCACACTGTCATACAGGGGGGTCAATCATAGCTAGAATCATCCAGGCACTCATGGGTGAGGGGGGGGGGTTGATTAAGCTTTAAAAAAAATCTTGAATGAAGTACCCTTTGTCACACTGCTACATAAACCATTTTTGCGCACAATTTTGATTCACTGTAACACTGCAATGACTCATTGCTGTGACTCACTGATACGGCTCAGCATGGGACAGGAAGCACATTTTCCGAAAGTACACTGTCACGGCTACTTGTGTGTTAACGCGCCGGCAGGGAAATAAGCCCTAGACTTTAGCAGCACTGCCACCCTGATGATACCAAGCAGCACCCAGGGCCTGCAGGACCAAAAGTGCGCAGAAGAGGGCAGTACATATTATTACATTTTATTAAACAAAGATATTTTTTATCGTAATACCCTCCTCCCTTGTTGGCCCTTCATTGCTAATGCAAGTTTATATATTGGAAATATATGTATGTTGATTCACAAATTCATTAATAACACACACAAACACACAACTACAAGCATATTCAGGTAAGATGAAATCCACTGCAGACTCCCAGAAATACCTGCAGCACCCAGCATTTCCAGCAGAGGGCAGAATGTGCAACAAGTGAGCTGCAAACCAACCACTGACCAACCTCAGGGGAACACGATGCTGGCTTCCTATTCTACGGCGATCATGCCTGTTTATTTACAGATCAAACTCGTTTGAGAACCACTATTTTGAGAGACACTCAAAGCGGCACCAGCCAGGAAGGGCAGCTTTAAATATAAACTAGGGTTACGGGTGGCTGCAGATTAATTCAGTGGCTGTTTTGTAGCTAGAGATGCCACAGCTGGATTCTGGCCGGGCTGCACATAGGGCTGACTCCTCTGTGAGTCTCCTCCTTTTCCCTTTCTTCCATCATTATGGAGGGAAAAAATAGTTTTAGGATTAACACCGTTAAATCTATTAAGGGCTGTCCATTGGGGGTTCATATTGTGCAATTATAACAGAGTGAGGCATCCCAGGACAGGACAGGACAGGACAGGACAGAATATGACTGGGAGTTGTTCTGTCCTCAGAAATTGCTTGAGGTGGCATTGCGGCACCCTCTGCTGACTAAATCATGTACTACACGGCCTGGGATGGAATAGTGCAGGGTTATTCAACTCACGGTCCTTGAGGTCCGAGCCCTGCTGGTTTTCCAGCCTTCCTTTACCTGTCAGTCAGGTGTGAAGCCTCTGACCAATCAGAATCAGTAATTATTAAACAACTACCTGGGGGTACTGAAAACAAGGCCTGGATTTGGAATCGAGGTCCAGAGTTGAAGAACCCTGGAATAGTGCAACACATTGCGAAGTGCCTAACAAACTTTAAGGCTGTAGGTTAAGGCTCCTGGAAACTGCAGTGCTGTCACTGCTGCCGTCCTTTAACATTAAAAAGCAGGCGGGCACAAAATTCAGAAAGCAGCATTCATAGGGACAAAAAGAAGTGTTAAACCTAAATAAAAATGGAGCTAAAAAGCTAAAATAAAACCCATTAAAACTGAACTGGAACTGAAAATAAACAATGATGAAGACTAAAACTGTTGCAGAGCTGTTTGCTACTCGGGGTGAATGGAAGGCGGTTATTTTAGGAGAAACCACACACTCAGGGGAGCCTGGGGGAGGCCACACCCAAAAAGAAAGGGCGGTACTGTCCCCAAGGAAGAAAATGGAAGATGGTGGGGGGTCAGGGGAGGCCTACCCACCCCCCAATGCCAGGAGGAGGAATAGATGAGGCCATTCTATCCATTCAATGTCAGAGTGATGGGGATGGTAAGAAGGTCAATCCATGAAGCATTAGATGGGCGGGCGCTGTTAGTGTGTGCAGGCCTCGGGATAGGACTCTGTGCCCACGATCGGAAGGTCGCCGGTTCGAACCCCATGGTCAGCAGACTGACTTCACCATCGAGCCCTTGAACAAGGCTCGGCTCTGACACCCGGGACCGGCGGCAGGCCCACCAGTAGGGGGCGGAATTGAGAAAAGATAACCCTATATTACCCTTGGGACCCTGACCCTGCTTTCTCAATCGTATGCCGCTTTGGATGAAACAAACTGTGAAATGGCTACGCACAAGCTCATTCTGTTTTGCATGAGCACAATAACAATAAAGTTGACTTTGACTGTGGGGCAGATGGGTTATATTAGACCTACGGTGAGATTATGGAGAGGCATGGGAAGAGATAGGGCGGGGCTTTTGTGGGGCGGGGAGCAGGACGAGCTGGAAAACAGGACATACAGTCGAAGTCAGAGTGCCACCAGCCTCCGATAATGAAGGTGTACTTCCTCCTGTCTGCCACCAGGGCGTCACAAACTGATCTGTGAGCAGAAAATACTCACAGTTCAGCTCTCAGATATATTCTCTCCACAAGCCACATGTGCTACAGGACATCATCATCCCCACAGCTCTCGGCTGGCATGCCAAGATTATATAGCGCCTTTATTTAGCAGTTAAATGTTAGTCACCAAATGCCCGTGATTATAGACAGGAAATGTTCCCAGAAAGACACACACCTGCTGAAGGGGACTCGCCCAGAAAAGTAGGATGAACATGACAGGGCTGCAGTGCTGGTGGTGGAGAAGGTGACAGGGATGCTGGGATGCAGCATACCTTTCCCCCGCCGGGCTGGTGCTTGGCATTGTCCGTGGAGCCGACCTTAGAACGGACGTTGCGGACATCGGAGGTGGGCACGGTCCCGGGGGCGGTGCTGAGGCGAGGGGCAGCCTTGGCGGTGGTGGGGGCTGCGGAAGACCGGGGGGCACGCGGCACCGGTGGCTTCCTCTCAGGCAGGGCAGGGGCGGGTGCGGCTGTCGGGGACCTGGTGGGACGGCCACTGGTGGAGTTCCGATTGGGGGCGCTCTTGGGTCGACGGGAGTCAGCTGTGTGCGGGGCAAATCATCCCAAAATCTCGAGGGGATTCAGCAGACGCCACCCCCCCCCCGAGAGCTGCCATAGTGGGCCCATTGACCCCCCCACATCACTGTGTCCTATAATCTCCCCACCCTGATGTCACCTCTGCAGATGGGGGAATGTGAGGGACGAGGATCAGGGCGAACAAGCTGGGAATGGAGCGGGAATTTATGGGGGGGGGGGGGATGGGGGGTCTCACCTGGCGTGCTCTTCAGGATGCTAGGCTTCCCCACCTCCCCTGTTTCGTTCGCTTTGGTGGCTGTGGAGCACACAGAGACATGTTTGCCATTGAGTAACTGGCCCCTGCTGAACACTGATAGGCTCTTCATGTGCCCACTCCCCTGTCAGTCACTGATTCAAAGCATATTATTGGCTAATGAAAAGGCTGGCCCCTCTGTATGAATAATGGCCCCTTTTATGTCCCCCCCCCCTTAAAAAGTCAGCCCTGCCACCAAGGGGGCTGTAAAGCACTGCAGACTCTCTTTCCTTCTGGTTTACACATTGGCATCTACAGTAGTTCTGCTGGCTATTTTTCTAAATGTCCTCAGGTGAAGTATATTAACCTACAACCTTCTCCATACTAGGTGCCCTTAACAACTACTTCACCTACTTGCCAGTACTGTACACCTGCAACTAGCTCATTTCATTCAGCATGTTGAAGTTGGTTACTCTGTAATTTCTCTTAATGTTAGCAGTGATGAAACGCTAGTCTGTAAATGAGATCGAAATACCGGGAAAGCACCACAGTAAGTGGGAAGGGGTGGTGGGTGACTCACCCGAGGAACGTCGTGGGGCGAGGGGTCCAGTAGGGGACCGTGTGGTGGATGGGGACACCCGGGGCGTTCTGGCAGGCTTGGCGGAAGTCGTGGTGGAGGAATTGGTCTTGGGCACAGTATTGACCTTTGGCACTGCAGGGCACTTTTCTTCCTATGAAGCAGAAGCACGTCAGAGAGGAGAATGCGGGGAAAGGGCCTAGTTGGACTGCTATCCTCATGTGACGCTGAACATCATGTGAGGGATATCAGGACAATATGGCGACTTCCAGAAGGTGAGGAAGAATTCCAGACTTTGCTAATCTGGGGCTGATATCACCATCTGCTCAATGGATACTCAGATGTTATTTTGTATTAATAAATAAGATTCTTGCGGATTCCTTGTTCATAGAATCAACACTGCACTTCCTGGAGATCCTGAATCACCTACTGGGAATACTGGGGAAAAATGCTGGGAAAATAAAACAAGCCAGACAGAAATCAGAAAACTTTCAGGAAAAACACTGCCAAATAAAAGATTTAAATGAAATGCATCCCATAAAGAGATTAGTAATTTTGTCTGCTGATGAGAAATACTGTCACAAGGGGGCAGCAGAGGGTATGGGGCTTCCCCAGCAGGGCTTTGGGTCTAACGCATGGAAAGGCCGATATCTGTCTGGCAGATGTCAGGACAAGGTCCAGTCAGCATGAGGGGGAGCTAATTAGGGACTCACCTTGGGCTTGTTCTCTTGGGATGTAGTAGTGGGGGTACGGCTGGTCGCGGACACAGGCCGCTTGCTAGCAGTGTGGGGGGCAGGTGTCTTGGGCAACGGGCTTTTTCTGCTGGGAGCCGTGGAGGATGAAGTGGGAGAAGGGGATGGGCGTTTATGGGTGGGGGCGCTGCTGGTGCAAGTACTCTGCAAGTCCGTCCACGGCTTGGGGGGCCTCATTCTGCCCGGGCCAGCAGGAGGCTTTCAAAAGCGGCACGGGACCCGACGAACGGAGATCGGTGTGACAGAGACCGGTACATAAAAGAGACCAAAACAAACCGATGATTGGGGGGGGGGGGGGGGGGGGGGCAAAAAACACAAAAGGCAGCAGAAATCATAAAAACTCAAAGGGAGCGGCAGCCACTCAGGTGAAGAAGCCGATCTGCTCATTTGCAAGAATGGATGAATAAAACGATCACAGTAATTTAACGCTAAATGGCATTTTTCATCACAGCGTCCTTTACGACTTATGGATCGTAACATCTAAACATCTAAAGCTTTCGCACCCATTTCTGTGGCAACTTTCAGGGTCACTTTGGACAGCTGCACATAGGAAATTTTTATAATAATATTATTATGAGTTTAGTACAGGGGGGTATTTCACGAAGCGTGGGTTAGCAAACTCTGGGTTTAAACTTGAACTCTGACTTGATTAACTCTGAGCTGTCAAACTCCGAGTTTTCACTAAACCCGCTTCGTGAAATATCCCCCAGATCACTTGGACGATATAGCAGAGTTAAGCAAAGTTAAAAACACAAAATTGTAAAACAAACTGTAATGTAACACTGCACCATGACAGATACAATTTTAAAATATGCATGTAGCATCTGTTATATACACACTGTAATTATTAATTATTTTTCAGATTTAATGTAATAATATTTAATTAAATATTGTGTTATTACATCACTTAAGTCCTCAGCTTTTCAGTGTCATCTTTAAAACAAAATTTTTGAACAGGTTTCTAAAATATAAAAATTTTACATTATGGGTAACATTTGTTATGTTGCCAGATACTAACTAATTACCAGAAATAATTAGTTTTTTCTTGAAATTAATATCAGAAACTATAGTAAGCATAGTAAGGATCACTTTCTTGTAGTTAAAACATCGTTCCCTAGCAATAAGACCTGATTCAAAGGCGGTGTTTGTAGATTGGTCACTGAAACACAAAAAAGGCTTTTTGCAATAAAACTGAAAAAAGGTACGCAAAAATAGAAGCAAACCATTTTGGGATATTCGCATGCGGAGCAGCAGTGGGAGACTTCCTGTATTAGTGGGGCAGGCCTTGAGGGGATTGTCCAGGCCGTGAAAAAACGTAGTGAAATTAAAATATACCGCCATCCGTACAACGCCGATGAGACAGAGAAAGATCCATCATGGTGTTTCACCCTGGATTGCATTTAATTTTAGCCTCGTCATATAAAGTGACCTGTGCAGCTTTTAGCCATGAGATTAAATAAGTTAAAAGAATAAAGCACTTCACCTGTACTCAAGGGCATAGGTTTGATTCCATTGGTAGTAACCAATTCAGCCCCAGATGCCTTGTCCCCCTAAATACACTCCCAGAATATTGGTAGGGAGGTGTCCATACCCAGATCCACGCCCTTGATAGTCCCATAACCCCACTCATCCCCGCTCCACCTTACCCATGATGCACAGCAGTAGCCCCGCAGACCGCCTCTGCAGATGAAACGTCTTCCACCCTCCCGGTCACATGACAGCAGAGGAAGCGGCTCGTGGCGGAGAGCCCACGTTCGCACTGTGTCTCATCACCGGCTTACCTTGGTCTTCTTGTCCGGACTGGTCAGGTCCTTCTTCGGCACAGTGCCGATCCCGTTAGTCGATAGCGATTTCACACCCCTGGTGGCTTTGTTTCCGGCGGGGGCTTTGACCTTCTCCCTGCCCTCGTCTTTCTTTTCTGCTTTTTCCGTTTGGCCTGTCTTCTCCTGCTTATCCACTGTTGCTGCTTCTCCCGCTTGCTTGGTACTGTCTGTTTTCTCTGCTGTTTCTTTCTTTTCCACTGCACCCGACTTCCCCGATTCCTCGTCCTCTTTATCAGTTTTCTCCAGCTGCCCATTCAGTTCTGGTATCTTCACGGCTTTGTCTTCTTTATCGGCAGTTCTGTCGCTTTCAGTTTTCTCTGTTTTATTCTTCACTTCCTCTTTATCCATCTTCTTCACCTCTACCTTACCCGCTTTATCCTCCTCCTCCATCTTTCCTGTCTTCTCTACTTTATCCTCCTCCTCCACCTTTCCTGTCTTGTCTACTTTACCCTCCTTCTCTACAATTTCTACTATATTCTCCACCTTATCACTCTCCTCCACTTTATCCTCCTTCTCCACCTTTTCTGTCCTCTCTACTTTATCCACTTTTAACTCTTCCAGTTTCTCTGCTTTATCCACCACCACCTTTTCTATCTTCCCCACTTCATCCCCCTTCTCTCCCTTATCTACTTTATCCATTTTCTCAGGCTTTACATTATCCTCCACTTTATCTATCTTCTCTACTTTATCCAACTTCTCCTTTTCCATCCTCTCTACTATTTTATCCTCCTTCACCACCTTATCTGGTTTATCTACATTATCCATCTTCTCCACCATTTCTACCTTATTCTCCACCTTTTCTGTCTTCTGTACTTTATCCTCCTTCTCCACCTTTTCCGTCTTCTGTACTTTATCCTCCTTCTCCACCTTTTCCATCTTCTCTACTTTATCATCCTTCTCCACCTTTTCCATCTTCTCTACTTTATCATCCTTCTCCACCTTTTCTGTTTTATCTACTTTATTGTTTTCCATCTTATGTGGCACATTTTCTTTCTTCTCTAGCATTTCTATCTCATCCAGCTGTTCCACTCTTTCTGCTGTCTCCATTGTACTCTTTACTTTGACACTATCTGCCTTTTCGCCAAGACTTTCCACTTCCCCTTTCTGCTGTCCGTCCAGTTTCGCAGAATTCTTCTCGATCTTCTCACCTTCATCTACATTGCCATTCTTCTCCACTGACTCCAGTTTCTCTGACTTTTGTGAGGGCTCTGTCTTTTCAACTTTTTCTTGCTTGCTAGTCTTTTCTGTTTTCTCTGTAAAAAAACAATCAAAAGCAGACTCAGAAACATAATTCACTGGCACAAAGGTAAAAGTTTTTCTCTTTGATAAACCAAAAACATTCTGGCTATAAGACAAATCCTTTACTACCTGTGAAGTTTTAATGAATACACATTATAATACATTATAATGATAATTATTGTTGTTCAGCGGTGTTCACTGTCATAAAACAATTATTCCCTGCTCCAGACTAAACACATCTGATAATGGAAACACAGGATATGACCTACAGCTGTAATTAAACTGCCGGGTAGCAGATGTTAGCTGTGCGAGGCTGAACTCCCAGAATCCACAATAATGTGGGGCTTGGCAGCAAGTACAGGAGTAAGAGCTCAAGAACAAAGCTGCCGAAGCTCCAGGCCCGAGTTAAACACTTCCAGGTAGCCATCAGTGGTACAGTGATACAGTGATACAGTGGTACAGTGATACGCCCACATTTAAACAGGCAGCCGAAAGTCGAGCTCCCCATCCCTCAGGAGGTTACCCTCCTGCCCTGTGCTGTGGCTTTTTCTGAACTCCTCATTGGCTGGACTACTGGGACGGCCTGACCCCTAGTGGACGAGACCAAAGTAACGCGGTTGTCCTCGGAAAGGCGAAAGAGGCCCACAGCGGCCTCACGGACTGTGGCGGAGCGATGGCCCCATAAGCGGGCCGGGCCTGTCAGTTCAGATTAGGGTTAGGGTTAGGGTTAGGGACTATCCATGGACATGATGTGCAGCGATAGGGGGACTGCCCGGAGTTAGGGTTAGGGTTAGGGTTAGGGACTATCCATGGACATGCTGTGCAGCGATAGGGGGACTGCCCGGAGTTGGGGGGGCCACGGTGGGGGCCCACCCACAGCACCACAGGAAGCGAGGGCACGGCACGGGTGATGGCTATGCGGGGACCTTGACGGCGCCCAGACCCGGCAGGCTGGTGTGGCACAAACTGGACACAATCAAAGCCAGATTTCACAGTGAATATGCTAGTGAATTTATAGTGGTCAGTCTGGCATAGCATAGACTGGAAAATAATTCTTCTCCCATCTCCCTTTACATTTTGATTATATGTTCACCCCAACCCTGGAAAAGAAGGACAGAGACTGTACTATTGATCCTCCATAAAATTCACAGGGGAAGAGGCCGGGACTGACCTTGCACCTTTTATGCCCGTCCAATTCCAGCTGTTGCACGAGACCGTACCGCCCCCACTGTACAGTAACGGAGGGCTTAGCGAATGTCTCAAAAGACCCATTTTTTAGCTCAGCCACACCTCCCGCCTTCTGGCCACGTGCCTCTAAAAGCTTCCAGAAACAAACAACCAGAGAGGCAGAAGCGATAGACTTTTTTTTCCTCACCTCTTGCTGAGAAAAAGAGGCAGCATGACAAGAACAAGTGCTCTGGCCAGGTTTGCTGCATTACATGGCACTGAGGTTCCCGGAAAAAAAAAAAGGATGAACCGGCAAACAGGAGATGGGAAAAAACAACGGGAAAAGAGGAGGAAGATGAGGAGAAAGAACACAAAAAACAATGGTAATTAAAAACAAATAAAGCCAGTGCTCACCGGTACATAAATGTAAAGCAATTAAAAGGAAGCAGCTTAAGTCAACTAAGGCTGAAGAATAACTGGAGCTTTAATGGGCAGTTCCAGGTCAGGCAAATATAAACTGGACTGTTTCAGTGCTAATGCAGGCAAGAATGACATGGGCATTAACAGCTGGTAACAGCATCCAGCCTCAATCAATGGCTTTTTTAAAGCAGATGAAAAGAGTCTCCAGAGCAGCGATGAACTATTAATAACCAATCGGTTTATTATGATTGACCCCAGTTCAGCTAGTGAATCTCAGTGTAGCGTTATTATACCTTATTTTATTTTATTCTTATTTTAGTGTATTCAATTGTCTCTATTGTTCCTTGTTTTATTGCTGGCTAACCTGTGAAGCACTTTGGTCAACTATAGTTGTGTTAAATGTGCTATGCAAATAAAGTTGAAGTTGAAGTAAATCATCAACTGTACTCTGAACCTCAACAATGACGCACTGTCCAAGCAACTCCAGGCTTTACCAAAGCCAGAGTAGAACATGAGATCTTCCTGTGACAGATCTTCCAGGAGGCACGCAGATGAAAAAACTGATACGGTATCTGTCCATAGGCATCACTCTGTGGCAGACCGAGGTGCATCACACGTTCGAATGTCAGAAGGATATGTGACATGAGTAGCGGCTGTTTGATTTCATCCTGACAAATACCTGCAGAGCTGGATCAAGATGATGAGGAAGGTGATGAGGAAGAGGCTCCATGCCCTAATGCTTCATTCAGTATAAAAGTTTGATGGTTCCCTGTGGTTGGAGCTGTCAAGCTCATAAGGGGTCACAAAAGCTAAGACCATAACCAACTGGAAAAACACCCCCCCTCCCCCTAATCATATGATCAAAGGAAACATTTCTCCAAAGACAAATGCAGGAGCAACCAAAAGGCTTGTCTCTCCTCTGCCCAAATTTTTTATTTTTTTTTTTAAACTGTAGTAAATTGTGAGACTTTCAGACAGCTATTATAAATGACAGCTTGAACAAGAATGGCATGGAAATGCAGCCAGTTCCAAAAAAAGCCTATTTAGCATCAAAAACTGAACAAGGAGGAGGGAAGTTCTTTTAATATCTGGATCCAGGTAGGTTTTTCTATTAAGAAAAGACTAGATTATCTGTCATTGGACTCAATCATTTAGAGCTACAACATTCTAGTGACAACTGGCGATTGATCTTGATGAAGGGACACAATCTGACTCCCCCCCTCCCCCACCATAAGGAGAACAAACTAAAGACTCTGTAAGGGAACCTGAACATCCACATGAGCACTGTGATTTCCTGTGATACATCTGCATCTCCCTCCACCTTTAATCTACATGTCAGGCTGTAGCACTGACGCTAACCTGAGGCACTGGTAAGGAGATTTATTCGTGGCCATCTGTCTGCAGGTGGTGGGGCTTGGGGGCCGCGCCGTCACTCTCGATGCCGCTGCCCTGACCCGTTTTTGCAGGATGCGCTAATGATTCAGCGCGACAGCTAACCAGAGACAAATGAAGCGTGCTTCCCATTGCATCGCCTCAGAACATGCCAAAGCTCAGTTGCGACCAGAATTATCGTAAGACTGATTTAATACGGTCTACTGAACGGGAACCAATTTAGTGGTGATGACACGTGCGCAAATAGCTATGCTAAAGTGTGCCCATCACGAAGGGTAAACCCGGCTGCTACTGCCAAAGACAATGACATTTATTAACTTCTAATAGAGTCCGTTAGGGTTCGGACAGCCTTGTCTTTTACTGCGGTCCTTCGTCAAAGCTGCTGCCTCTCATCTGCAGACTGTCTTGATCCAAATAAACCAGATAGAGGAGAGAGAGCCCTTTGAGAATGAAAGTGGGCAGCCGGACGGTAGAATGGCACCCCCGCCACACCAGACATCACCACCGAAAAAGGCCCAACTCCTGGCCAGAGGAAAATCTATTAATCGCCGGCTCTGTATGACTGTCCACCACATTTGCAGCAACTTTCCACACATTCTCAGGTAACCTCTCGCATAGGTACTTCTGATTGCTGGCATTTGGCTTTTGGGGCTGGGGGGGGTTGATCCTCTTGTTTCCACTGTGTGCACCTCTGGGAGGGGGGTATGGCAAGCTGCTCTGATTGGTCTGACTCCTCAGGGATGAAGGAATTCATACAGTCCCTCTTTGCTTTCCTTGTCCAGATATTGGGCTCAAGACCTGAATTCCGGCAGAGAGAAGGCAGGGAAGGGGCCACAGCCTGTGCTCTGTGTCTGTGCCACACTAATCTAGATCAGACGACTTCGTCCCATAATCCCAGACATCTCGGCTTTCCGAACTCATCCGTCTCCCAGCCGCATCTTCCCTCAGTGTTTCTCTCCTGAGACCTTCTCATTCGTCCACCCCCCCCCCCCTCCCCCCGGCACACGATAAATCGAGGTCGCCCGGAATCTGAGAAGCGACTCAGACACTCGGGGGGTTTCGGGGGCGGGCGAGCGGGTTACGTATGACGCGACCTACCCTCGGCGGCTGCAAAGGCGCTTCCGGCAGCAGATCCACTGACGTTCGGCCCGCCGGAGGGCACTTCCAGCAGGATGCTCCCCTCTTTCTCCGTCACCAGTACCTCTGGGGCGCCGTCCGGCATGTCGCGGGAGAAGCCCCTGGTTTCACTCTCCAAAGCCAGCTGGGGACAAGCCCTCACTTCCTGTTTGAAGTCAGCGGCGGTGAATGACACGACTGGAGGCGGCGTTGACGGCTGCCTGTCCGCCACAGTGAGGGACCGCTTGACGGTGGATTGGGTGCGCCGCGGCGCCGCCCCAGGGGAGGTCAGTTCGTCCAGCCGCGGCACCTTGCCAGGGTACTTGTCGGGCAGCTGGAGGCTGGCCGGCACGGAGAGGTGGGTACACTCGGACATGGCGCGCCGCATGGCCTTACGCTGCTTCTCGGCGCGGCCCATGAAGCAGGGCTCAGCATCTCCGTCGCTGTCCTCTGAGGGCCCCCCCACTGCGGGGGGGCTGCAGACACCCACCACCCCGATCACGCAGTAGTTGGGGGCTGCAGGTCCCGCTGAGGTTTTGGTCAGAATGGCGCTACTCTTGGCCATCTCAAACGAGTTTGCCGCCGGCAAGACATCAACCGGGCTGCTGTCAGCTTCAGCCAGGACGCCGAGCCTCCCGCTGCCCCCATACCCTGGTGGGGCAGGCTGCTTGCCACATGGGGACGGCGAGGATGACAGGGGGCTCTCCGGACTCTCCCCAGTGCTGCCCAGCGAGGTGCCACCCGCCCAGCAAGCCGCCTTCAGACCCGCATCCCTGTCCGAGTCTTCAAAGAAGCAGAGCTTGTCCTCATCAGTGAGTCCGGACACCTGGGAGGGTACCCCCATCTCCGTGTGCTGCCAGTCCCAGCCCTGGGGGGGCGCCTTGCACAGCTCGCTGTACTCCGAGAACGGAGCTGCCGG